GTACGATGCTCCTCCAGATCGAAACGGGCGGGGGTGGGAATTGAACCGAGAATCCTTGAGTTCTGCAGCGCGAGCTATCGCTCCGCGTGCTCCGAGCTGGTGTGGGCTAGCACACTCGGCCACCGTTCCCCTCTTGAAGGAGGCCCGCCAGGGGGCCAGCTTGGCTCGACCACCTTCACGTGAGCTCCCGTCTTTTTACTTCTTTTGACAAAATCTCTGAAGGTTTTATATCAATCAATTCGCACAAAACAAAGCGCAAACGCGTAGAAAAAAAAACACGAGATAAATTTTAAGACCCAGTCGCGGATTGGGGACCCGGGGATGGTTTAGAAGGGAAACTTAAGACGCCGGCCAAATCCAACATGGCCCCCCATCGACGTGATGCTCGAGGGAGCCCAAGACGCCTTCGCCCCCGACCGCTGCGTCTTCGAGGCGCCCACGCTCCAGCGACTCCCATGGATACAAAACGGAACGGTTCAGGGGAGGCTACCGAGCTCAACACCACCAACCATCGGCATCCCGTCATTGAAAGCATTGAATCGGGAGCGCCGGCGGTCTGGACGGCCCCAACGGTCGACGAGATTCAAGCCGGGACCATTGCCGGCCTCCCGGGGTGCCTGGAGGGAGGCCACGCCCACGCGCCCCCAACTCGGCCGACGTCACCCATTTCGGAAGACGGAGAGAGAGAATACGCGCCTCCTGCGGTTCCCCCTTCACCCCCCGGCCGTGCCCCGGACTCACCGGGAGCGTCCTCGACTCAGCGAGAGGCTTCTTCCGTCTCGCGCCCCATCCCCATGCCCGTGGAGAGGGTAATGAACGAGACACCCGAGTTAAGCACCAACAACGGCGAACCAACGGGGGTGAACGTGCCGACATCGAACAGCTTCGAGTGCCTTGGGGGGAACAATCCCGACGGGGAGGCTAGCGTCGGAACAGCAGCACCGACCAGTCATGATCCGCCAGGTGAGCGCCGTCCATGCGGGGTCGCGCCTGCCGAATTCCTCACCCAGGATGGCTACACGCTGGTCACATACCGATCGGAGAGAAAACTCAAAAAGCCAACAGACCAAATCGATAAACTCTACACCGTGCTTTTTCATCCCTCGCTAGAAAGTCGCCCATTCGAAGCAACACAACGGAGCAAAATTTCTAAAGAAATCAGAAGCGCTTTCAGCAAGACGGCCGTCACAAACATCCGACTAAATCCTTCTAAAAACATCCTAGCGGTTGACACACCCTACATTGAAACCAGAGACAGGCTTCTGCTCGTCCGCAACCTGGTCCGAATTCCGGTGCGCTCTTTCCCAGCTACGCCGACAAACGCCTCCGTGGGAACAGTGCATGGCATGGCCGGCGAACACTCTCTACAGGTGATTCGGACTATGGTGGAGGCAAAAGGGACCATCCTGGACATCGCCCGTAAGGGAAAAGGCACATCAATCTTCGTCTTTTTTGAGGGCCTAAGTATGCCTGACCACGTCACTCTGGGCCCGCGGTGGTACGGGGTTTATCCGGCTAAAGAACAAAAACGACTCAAAGGGATCGCCATCACGACCGGCAGACCTCCATGGAGATGCCCCCACTCACATCAACATCAAAATCGGAACCGCCACAAGCAGAAAACAACCCATGGAGAGGCAGACCTACCTTTGCGCATGTACTCCGTGCAGGTCGGGAAACACCGAGCCGGAACGCAGAGCTCTCTGTGGGCCAAAAACCCACCACCCCCACTCGGTGCCACGGTGCAGCTGTGTCGCAACGCAGGGGAGAGAGATCCTCCTCGAAACACGGGGGCACCTGGATCCGTGGAGACATGGATACTCGGGGGCCCCTATCATCGTCAAACTGCGGCCGAAATCGTCCACTCATGCGGGGCAGCCGAGGAGATGGCGGGATGCCCAGACGAGATATGCGCTGCCGATCCGTGCCGTCACCCAGTGAGCGGTCCCAATTGCGGAGAGCGATGACTGGAGGTCGGCATATCGAGCCCTTTGGTTTGCCGGAATCATCCTCCCGCGGTGCATTTTGGCCTGCACGGAGCGAGCCTCCTTTTGGTGACATCGATATGCGACGGACGGGGGCAGTAAGGTGGCCACCGCTTGTTTCGCTGCTCCAAGAAGAACACCAGAGGGAAGAAAAACGTCCTTACACAGACGGGTCCGCCTCCAACGCGTCTGAGAGAAGCCGGAGCGGGAATGACAACAGCAGTAGGCATCCCACGGAACCAACCAGCCTCCCCTGCAAAACAGCTAGTGGGACTTACCCAACCCTCCCGCATACTTCTCTGGCAGCCGACCCCAACCAGCCTCGGCTCCCGGTCTCCCCAAATGATCGCGACCGTCCCCCTCCCAGTTCGCCTGAGGCGCACGCTGCTGCTCCTCCTCCTCTCTTCTCTACTCTTTCGAGAGGGCATGCGACACCAGCGCGGTGCATGTGCGGACACTCGGGGAATTCCGCGGAGGTGCTGAATGACTTCCACCAAAAGTGTGTAGCGACGGAAATGATCCTTCATCACACCTTCACTCCACTGGTTAAAGAACTGGTCTCAAGTCTGCTCGAGGCTAATCCACAAATGAAGGAAACATCCGACGAAAACCGAACCCCACAGGAAAATACTAGTACTGCCCGACAACTATCAGACACTCAATCATCACAGCCACATTTCCGAGGGACAGAGGAGTTCCCGCTCCTGCCTTCTCGGCGGGAGACGTCTACAACCGCCGATACCGAAGACTTGGTGTCGCACGTGCGGAGAAATATCAACCGCGATCGACCTCTGCACCAAGACATAGACACACGCATAGACCAGCTGGAAGGCGAGATGCGCGAAGTAAAGCGCTACTTGAAGACCATCCTTGACAGACTCCCACAACCCAACAATGGCCAAGAGAAGTAAAGGTTGCATTGTGTGGCAGTGGAATTGTCGAAGCTTGGCTCCGAAGAGGGGACACCTTCACCAGTACCTACAATCCCTACCACCAGAACTCAGACCAGACGTTTTGGCCATACAAGAAACGTGGAAGGCCATCACCATTCCGGGATACCAAGCCTTTAATCACACCAACTCATCAGGGGTCGTACGAGTCACCACGCTAGTGCGACGGAACCTACCAGCACAACGTCATTCAACCGGCATCGAAAACATCGAGCACACCTTCATCGAAATCTTGGCGGGCAAGAAGAAGTGCCATCGCAGCACGTTCATCCTCAATGTATACAGTCCTCCGAAGGCACGACACTCGTTTCACCAGCTCCTGCGCGCCGCCATAGACATGGCCAAGGGAAAAGCTCTGCTCATCGTTGGAGACTTTAACGCACCACACATGTCATGGGGCTATCCGCGGGACAGCGCTAAGGGTCGGCAGCTTTGGCAGGACATTGCCACCCTGGGACTGGACCTACTTACAGACCCGACGCAGCCAACTCGGAAAGCCACGGGCGGATACAAAGACACATCACCAGACCTCACACTCGGTCACTGCTTGGACGCAGAATGACACAACACCCTGGAAACTCTGGGCAGTGACCACTATATCCTCAACATCCTCCTGAGACGCAGCCCTACGAAGCCCATGGGATGGCCTCTGCGAGTGGTCGAGTGGGACACTTTCAGGCAGGAGCTTGACGAAGTGGACCGAGACGGAGAGATCAAGGACCTGGATCAGTGGACCGCAGGCATCAGAGAAGTTGAAGTCTCAGCCACAAGAAACATTCCCGAGGAAGCAAATCTGACCGCGGCGGACAGTCGGCTCCTGCACCTATGGGAAATGAAGACAAACCTTGAGGCACGCTTAAGGCGAAAGAAAGGAAATCGTCGGCTACGCAAGCGAATCGCAACATTGTACAAGACCATCGAGAGTCACGCCACCTATCTCACAACTAAGCAATGGGAAGACACCTGCAACGAGTTCGAAGGAGCTCCCAACACTCCAAAGACGTGGAACATCCTTCGACATCTCCTCGACCCCGGACAAAGCCGAACCACAGTCCGAAATCAGATGGAGTGTATCCTGAACTCATTCCAGGGAGATGGAAACGAGCTTGTCCAAGAAGTACAAAACAAGTATATCGGACGAGCTCCGCCAACACCTGCGATGGAATACACGGGCCAGCCAAACCTTACGCTAGACAAAGAATTCCGACCCTTCGAAGTCATGGCTGCGATCCGAGAGCTCAAGACCCGCTCCACTCCAGGACCTGATGGAGTCTCCAACAAGCTACTGCGGCACTTGGATGACAGAGAGATTGACCGGCTAACATCATACTTCAACGTCTGCTGGCAAAAAGGAGAAATCCCAGAATCCTGGAGGACTGCGAAGATGGTGTTTATACCCAAGCCTGGGAAAAAACTTCAACTGGAAGCCCTGCGCCCCATTTCGCTCACGTCCTGTCTCGGGAAGGTCTTGGAGCATGTCGTACACAATCGCCTTAACAGGTACGCAGAGGCCAACAAAGTCTTCGCGGACACGATGGTCGGGTTCAGACCCAAGCTCTCGACGCAGGACGTGATGCTCCGACTGTATCATCAGATTATGGCAAGGGAATACGCACCCAAAAGGGACACCAGAGCCATACTCGGGCTGAACATCTCCAAAGCATTCGACAATGTCAGCCACGCAGCCATCCTCCGTGGGCTAAACTCCATTGATGTGGGCGAGCGCATCTTCAAATACATACAGAACTTCCTATCAAGTAGGCAGGTGCAGGTCTCGATCGGCGGTTTCCAATCTGACCTGCAAACTCTGGGCGGAGTCGGAACACCGCAAGGAGCAGTGTTCTCTCCGTTTCTCTTCAATATCGCCATGAAAGATTTACCGACGAAACTACAAGATATCCCCAACCTTCACCACAGCATATACGCAGACGATGTCACTCTGTGGATGGTAGGAGGAAGCGATGGCGCCATCCAAGACTCGCTGCAAGAAGCTTTACGCATCGTGGAAACCTACGCTAAGGAGCGCGGACTAGCCTGCTCTCAGGAAAAGTCGGAGTTGCTACTCATGGCCGGCACCACGGTAAAAACTCCCTCAGGCATCATACTGCAGGTCGGAGGCAAAGACGTCCCTCGGGTCCGGCGACTTCGGATACTCGGTCTGTGGTTGCAGGAGGATGGCAAGAACACATACAGCATCGGAGTCCTCCGTAACCACGCACGGCAGGTAGGAAGACTCATAGCAAGAATCGCCGGAAAACGGTACGGGATGAAAGAGCGGAATGTCATTCGCCTTATCAAAGCCTTCGTGATTAGCCGGATTGCCTACATTGCACCCTTCCTGGACTTGACACTCACGGAGAGGGATGCCATCGATCGCATCATCCGCTGCGTATACAAGAAAGCGCTTCACCTAACACGTTCAACAGAGACCAAGCGACTCCAGAAGCTTGGGCTTCACAACACCCTCTCGGAAATCATTGAGGCACAGAGGACAGCCCACTACGAAAGGCTATCTCTGACCACAGCGGGAAGAACCATCCTCACATCTTTGGGCATCAACTACCACCCCACAGGGCACAGTACGCGAGGCTTGCTTCCAAACGAGCTACGCGAGCAACTAAAGATTTCGCCTCTGCCTCGTCACATGCATCCAGTGCACGACGCAGGCAGACGCATGGCCAGAGTGAAGGCTCTGGAGAACACTCTACAGCAAGACTACGACGACTCCGAGGTGACCTATGTCGACGCAGCCTCAGCTGACAGGGGTCGAATGACCCTTGCAGTTACGAATCGCTCCGGCCAAATCTTCACGGCAGGCAGCATGTACACCAGCAACAGTGCAGAGGCAGAGGAGGCAGCCATCGCCTTGGCCCTCACTTTCAGCACCACGAAAGTCATCGTCAGTGACTCCCAGATGGCCATCCGCCAGTACATGCGTGGTCACATCTCTGACAAAGCCCCCAAGATCGCCACTGGTCATCGTCTGATTGACCACCCAGTCCGCATACTGTGGTCTCCAGCCCATGCGTCACTCCCAGGCAACGAGAGTGCTCACAGTGCAGCCTGCGCTCTTACCAACCGGGCTAGCACACCAAGTGAGCACTCGACCTTCGCCACGTGGAACCACGACAACCTCTACACCTTTAAGGGGGTGCTGGACCACTACCGAGTAGAACGCCGAGCCTACCCAGAGGCTCACAGCACTCTCAACAAGGCAGAATCCACCATCCTCCGTCAAGTCCAGACAGAGACCTTCCTCAACCCGGCGCAGTTGCACTCGTGGTACCCAGATACCTACGACCCGTCTTGCAAAAACTGTGGCGAGATCGCCACACTCCACCATATACTCTGGGAGTGTCCGGAGCTGCTTCTTCACTCGAAGAATAAGGAGTTCATCAAGCAAGCCAGGCAACCAGGCGCCTGGGAATCCTTCCTGCGGGATCCTGACCCCACGACTCAGAAAATTCTAGTCCAGCTGGCCTCGGACGCCGCCGGGAACATCGCGTCTCGTCTGTCGACCGAGGGGATCGCTTCGTCAAGGGTCTCTCCCTAAGAGAGACTCGGTTGACGCGGGGATCTAACAGTCTTGGACCCAATAAAGTCTACCTCACCTCACCTCATCCCTCTTGAAACCACAGAAAGACCCTTCACCGCCATCAAGTTAACACCCAATCGCACCGATAAGCTGTGTCGAGAAAACATTTGAAAGGCTTATAAGCAGACGGTTAGTATACATATTATAAAATCAAAATCTGGTTGATAAAGATCACTGTAGGTTTCGCCGAGGTCGATCTAGTCTAGATAACCTGGTTCGCCGGGAAACCGTGATACATGAGGCATTTGTGAGCAAGCAGCACTGCATTGCAGTGTTTTTGTTTTTATTTAGACAAGCCGTATGATACCACTTCGAGAAACGGTATCCTGCGAGACTTATACACTTGCAATATTCATGGTCAGATGCTGCAATGCAAAAATACTTCATAACTAACAGAAGCTTTCAAGTGCTGCTTGACAGAACCCTGTCTAATTCTTTTGATCAGGGAAATAGACTCCCAAGGGATGCTTTTTGAGCGTTACTTTGTACTGAAAATGCATTCTTTTGCGCGAATCTGACCTTTGTCTATCCCCTACTCTCTTTATGGTGTCGGCATACATATATTTTCATATTCCTGCAACCTTTCTAGTTGTCAGTGGCAATCGCAACTGACATTAAATGAACTTAGAAGTGGGCAGACGAAAATGGTTTTAAGTTCTCTGTTGCAAAGTTATTCTGCTTGCCTTTTTCCCTTGGCCGCGGGTTGTCTTGAAATCCAAGTCGGGAGCTTAATGGAACTCTAATTCCTGTTAAGAATGAGCATGAATTCCCCGGTTATTATAATTGACAAAACTTACCTATATTTTTCACCTGAAAATTTTCAATAAAAATTGCCTTCGTTTTATCCTTTTTTTCTAGAGTTTTGGTGCCTAAGTCATATGGGGGTCAGATCGGATATGTCTCTTACGTTTGTACAACGAACTTGTGCGATCTCGTCTTTATTGTGATGTGATATAGAGCAATTGTGTTCTTGACTCGAATTTCATCTGGACGAACTTCGCCGAATTTGGAACGCAGTTTACGTTTCCACCTGGAATGTGGTGCGCGTTTTGTTTTTTGTTTTTTTAATCGACTTTTATTAGGTTTAAAAAAAATGGCATATTAGCTCTTCTTGAGTCGAAAGAGAAATATCAAGATTATTCTCACTTTTAGACTGACGGCGTCAGAACTTGATATTTTGTGGGTTGAACAGGGCACTGGGGTCATTTTGTAAGGGTAAAACCTCTTTATGAATTTGCCAGTATATTTACTGCTGAAACCTATGCTGTGGCTTCTCCGCTGGATTATATTGCGAAGACTAAAACTAGACGGGCCGAATTATTGGAGGGACCTGAGCGTCATTACTGCAACATGCTCTCTAAAAACCACTAAGAATGTGCTTGTGTAACAAGTGCGAAGTCAACTTGACGGAGCTTTGCGTAAGCTCCGTAAGGTGAAAGAAGTCCCCGAGGAACGAGAACTGTGTTTCTCGGCTCGGTTAAATAAACTAGGCATCTCAGAAAGCTCAAACTTCGTGACAATGTGACGCTAGAGGTTATGATGGAACGCAAAGGTTTTAAAACGTGAAGTCGCCTGGATCAACAGATAAATAAGAAAATCGAAATGTGATAAACGCTGAAGACATTTTCTTCTTCTTTAGCGTTCATAGTGCGGCTGAGTGCCATTGCGGCGCTGCTGCGGGCATATCAATGTCTACGCTTCGTGCTGAACCAACGTTATGCTGAACAATCTTGCCGTTGTCTCCCACTGGACGAAGCGAGCAGTTGTCACACTTCCCCTTAAAGGCCACCATAGCGAGGCTACAGTGCACTGTAGCGAGGCAGCGCCCCGGAAAAGAGCACTAGCGCCACCTGGTAGGTTCAACACGACGTGGCTCACGCTGAGGCCGCCACTTTCTTCACTGCTCAATGTTTCTGGTTCACTGAACAAACGAAGCAGAAATTAGTGACACCACGCGCTAAATAGTGGTGTGGAACCCATCTCCAGCGAGCACACTCTCACTTCCCCACTCTTTCTCATGCATTGCCGTTAATAAAAGTTTGATTGATTGATTGATTGACTTCTTAGGCCTTGTAAACACAACAGAAAGCACCATTAACATGGCCACCAGCATAGTAAGCGACAAAGCTATATGGAATACCTGACCAAACTGACTGTGTAACGGCGTAACATCAAAAGCAGAGCTTCAAAATAGTAGGCTGTTTGCCTTCGAACCTCCTACCACTTCTAGGGTGAGTTCAGAATTGATCTTTCTGGAGCATAGGTAGCCCACCAGCGAATGCATTGCCAACCTGCGATCCGGGAATATTATTTTTGTACGTGGCTATGGACTCGAATTTCAGGCGTATGACAGGGCATTCATCGATCGACACTTCCCCAGTCAGTGATTCCTCCAACTGCGCCAATCTTGAGACATCCCCCACAAGCACCCAGGGATACCGGACCCAGACAGAGGATCGGCTACACCCGAAACGATCGCCACTGGACAACAATGCTAGCACAGCCTCGGCAAGACCTAGCGCCGATCTATACCAGAACAAGAAGGTGGAGTGCGCCCGGGAATCACACGAGCAGTCTCCACTGAAACATGCAAAGGCAGACTTCTTGAGGAACAGCGAAGATAATGCCGAATATAGCGCCAACGAGAATTCTGTTGGTAGCCAGTTGCTGGCGATCAACAGACATGGGAACTCGGCGTCCTCATTTGAAACCAGCACTTTGAGCGCACTTACAGAAATACCGATTCCTCCGATTCCTATTCAAGGTCAGTTCGAGTTGTTTCTGAGAAACATTGACGGCGATATGGAGACGAGGTCTAGTGAGGTGGACAAGACGAACGACCTGTCTTCTTCAGACGCGCAGCCGGCGACAACAAGTACCGTCTGTAGCAGCGCTGCGAGCGCCACAACAAAAGCCTGTAGAACTTCGGGGATTACGACCTGCGACACCTCGGACGAGGACAAAAGCGGAGAGGACGCCCCTGCCACGAGCTGTTCAGGGACGCCCATAGATTCGCCGCACAAGAAGATCACTTGGGGCAAGGCCAAGTCGTACCCTGGAAGTGAGACAGTGTCGGACCTCGATGAAACATCGGACACTCGCTCCGACCTCTGGCAGAGCCTGAGGAAGCCTATGAACCCGCTCTTGAAGGCTGGATATCGAGTCAAAAAGCAAGAAAGCGCGGCTAAACTGCACTCGCGTCCTTCTCGTAAAGACGCCAAGGACAAAAAGTTGCGCAAATGAACTACGTAAGACTGGCACAGACAGCAGGGGAGAAAAATAAGTCGAGTATCATTATTAATTTTATAAATGACACTTGGCTTCCGAGTCCTTAAATTAAAAAAGGAACCATTTCAAAGTTGCACGAAATAACACAAAAATATTACTTATTATGTGGTTAGTGTTATTTAGTGCTCAAAAAACCTCTGACACGCAAAAAAAAAAAAAAAATTTTTTTCATGCTGGCGTTGAAACGGCATATCAGGACATTACAAGAAAAATTGTTTCACTATAAAGTTGCATAGTTTTTTTTTATAAAAATAGAAATACGAGGCCCAATTCAAAGTTCCCGCTAGTGCACTGTGACGTAACAGTGTACCGCAAGGTGTCGGGACGGTCAGAAGGGAGGCATCGACCTACCTCACTAAAAGTGGGTTCGCCGGAAGTCACGTGAGTTTCACTCCTCATGCTCTCCGCGGCACATTGATACTTTAGACCCATGTTGTTGTAAAAAAAACTATCTCCAAACTCCGGTCTAAAAACATGCTTTTCGTGCAAGGCTCGTCAAATTATGAGGCGCTGGAGAAATGCAGCCTTCTGCGTTAAGTCCTTATTTCGAACTCTTTTTGTTCGCCTTCCGCCCATTGAAAAGCATGCGGGAAGGGCCTTAGAACGCACCTGGTATCGCTACGCCGCAGCGTTCTTCCGCATCAAAAAGTTCGTCTGCTTTCCTCGCCGTCACCATGGCAACGAACGCCGAATGAATAGAAGCACGCACGGTACCGCCGCGTGAAGCCAGCAACAGCTGACGCCATTTTACGAACGCCGTCTGCTAGCCACATCCGAACGCGGTGTGTCAGATCAACCGCCTCCGCCGGTGCGCCGCTAGCAAAGACGACGAAGCTGAGGCACGCCGACGGCGAATGGGCGAGCAACAGCTCCGCGGGACGACTGCAACGGCGGCATTTATTGGGATCAAAGGCGCGAAATAAGCAAGAACAATTTTTATTTGAATCATAACACCCGATATCCAAGTTGGGGACCACATACCTTTGCTGGGTCTCTCCTGTGAACTTTTTACAGAGACAGGGGGTGCCGCATTCAAAACACAGCTCCGTTTGCAAAATATGGGGGCCCTGAAAAGGACCGTTGAGACCGCTACCAGAACCTATAACTGACGTAACGTGTACTTGACGTGCCGTTGGCGCATAAGTCGTCTTTATGCATTTTTTTTTTTATTTTTTTATACGTGGTGCAAAGTAATCCCGCCCCATATTTTTATGGCGTCGGGAACGAAGCAGCATAGAAAGAGTACCCTTCAAACGACAATAATAATAATAATTAAAAACTTCCGGATCTCCGCTGGAGACTCCGAGGCACAGTGGAGTAGTCGTCACGATAAAAAATCTAAAGAAACAAAATAAATAGCCTAACGGTCGTCGGCTGCGTCATAAGGCCTCGCCAAGTGCGGAGTATAACGGTCTTGGCATACGGTATGTATTGTGCATTCGTTATTTTCTTTTCTTTTCTACCACGTCAAATTCTGACGCCAAGACTCTCTACCTCCTCCGTTCCAACGCGTTGTTTGTTATTATTTTAACAAATCAGCTTCAAATAAGGGTCGTGGCACCCAGTAGAGTAAGAAAAAGAATAAAAAAGGAACATTCCGAGCAGCCAGAGCAGCACGGCTGCTCTGGCCGCTCTGGACAGAGCAGCTCCTCTCATCAAAGAAGACGCCGTCCGAAACTCCAACGACTCCCTTCTTATTTTTTTATTTTTATTTTTATTCACTTTGTTACTTCATTTTGTTGTTGGGTTCGACTGCTCCCTTCTCTGTGACGATGCCGTCCGTGGACATACGTTTAGCGTTTCTTTTTTTTTTGTGTGCCACGCGATGGTGTGGTCCGACAGATCAACCAATGAGTTTGTTAGAATTGTGTCACGAGGTATAAAATGGCGGATGAAATAAATATAATAAATGCAAAGAAGCGCGCAGTTCCCCTTCGGCGCTTTATTCTTCAAGAGGCGAGCATCGCAGTGCCATGGCGTTCAACTTGTGCCGTCTTCTTGGCGCCATGAAAGACCCTCTTGAAGCAATTAATTTGCTTCAGCGCGTTGGCCTGCTCTTGGCTCCTGGGTTTTCGTGCGTGTCCAAAGTGCGAAGCTGCGATGACAAGCTGCAAGTCCGCGCTAGATCTGCGGATGGCTACACGGGGGGGGGGGGGGGGGGTTGCGGTGTGTGGATGACTCGTGAGGTGCCCAAGAGGAAGCCGGTCAAAGTTCAGTGCCGGGGCGAGGTCTCGGTACGGAGCGGTTCCTTTTTCGAAGGATCGCACGCACCTGACGTTTCTCCAACTCATGAAAATCATCCTCCGGATGCCAGAACCTACCGTGCGCCGTCATTCAGCGGGAGGCTGATATCGCAAGTAAGAAAATAACTGATTGGGCGAGCCTTTGTCGGGAGGTTGTGGTAAATGCCGTCTGTAAGCATTCAGACATGATTGGTGGCGAAGGCGTGACTGTAGAACTAGACGAGAGTATGATCGGTCGGCACAAGTACCATCGCAGGTATTTAAGGCCTGGCCAGTGGGTTTTCGGTGGTGTTGCGCGTTGCAGCGGGTGCTGCTTTTTTGTTCCCGTGGAGACCCGTGATGCTAAAACCCTGCAAGGGCTAATAGCCAAGTGGGTCCGCCCTGGAACAAGAATAATCACAGATTGTTGGGCTGGCTATCGCAAGCTTGCAGATGACGCTCGCTTCACGCACCTCACCGTTAACCACAAGCTGCACTTTGTCGACCCGAACACTGGTGCGCACACCAATACGGTGGAGGGCACCTGGGCCCACGTCAAAAACTCTCTTCCACGTGGACGGCGCGAGAGCCACCATTTCACTGGTCACCTTGCAAAGTTCATGTTTTGGAGGAGAGAGAAGGCGCGGAAACACTGATAGATTCCAGTCGTTCGTCGCCGCGGCCGCCAAAATCTAGAGCCCCGACGCAGACAGGGCGAGGATTCTGACGGCCCCGGTGACTTCGAGGGATCCGCTGCGCTGAGCCCGTCACCCGCCTGCATGCATAAAGACGACTTATGCGCCAACCGCTCGTCAAGTGCTCGTTACGTCAGTTATAGGTTCTGGTAGCGGTCTCAACGGTCCTCTTCAGGGCCCCCATATTTTGCAAACGGAGCTGTGTTTTGAATGCGGCACCCCCTGTCTCTGTAAAAAGTTCACAGGAAAGACCCAGCAAAGGTATGTGGTCCCCAACTTGGATATCGGGTGTTATGATTCAAATAAAAATTGTTCTTGCTTATTTCGCGCCTTTGATCCCAATAAATGCCGCCGTTGCAGTCGTCCCGCGGTGCTGTTGCTCGCCCATTCGCCGTCGGCGTGCCTCAGCTTCGTTGTCTTTGCTAGCGGCGCACCGGCGAAGGCGGCCTTTGATCCGAATAAATGCCGCCGCTGCAGCCGTCCCGCGGTGTTGTTGCTTGCTCGATCGCCGTCGGCGTGTCTCAGCTTCGTCGTCTTTGCTAGCGGCGCACCGGCGGAGGCGGTTGATCTGACACACCGCGTTCGGCTTTGGCTAGCAGACGGCATTCGTAAAAATGGCGTCAGCTGTTGCTAGCTTCACGCGGCGGTACCGTGCGTGCTTCTATTCATTCGGCGTTCGTTGCCATGGTGACGGCGAGGAAAGCAGACGAACTTTTTGATGCGGAAGAACGCTGCGGCGCAGCGATACCAGGCGCGTTCTAAGGCCCTTGCCGCATGCTTTTCAATGGGCGGAAGGCGAACAAAAAGAGTTCGAAATAAGGACTTAACGCAGAAGGCTGCATTTCTCCAGCGCCTCATAATTTGACGAGCCTTGCACGAAAAGCAGGTTTTTTTGGCCATCCCGCGTCCTGTTTTTTTTATCCGGAACATGGGTCTAAAGTATCAAACTGCCAGTTCCGCTAGCTCTTTATCGCTGTACCGTTGGTTAGTTTGCGTGCTGTAGAAGTTGAAGACGAAGGAGCCCGTGGATTGACGTGACAGAGGTCAATGATGAAAGCGTTGCGAGTACAAGCCAGCGTACGAGTGCATGCCGTCAGTCCAATGATACAGAGCTATACTGGGCACAAAACAAGCTAGCAAGTTTGGAGAAAAAATTTTAGAACGCTCGCAGAAATTAGGATTGCTAGTATACGACACCCCCGATCGCATTGCTTAAGGTTCAGACACCAATGTCGTTGAATCATCGGATACTCTTCAGGCTGAAAATGCCTGCCGTCTAAAGAATACGAACTGGTGAGTGTACCAAGTACAAGTAAACGTCAAGCATAAAGTACGTGTTTTGTCTAGAACATGAGTAGAACTTGTTTACTAGGTGCACAAGCAGCCGATGCGTCGTGATGCCAGAATTCAAGCCTCTTGAGTGCCGCTGCTGCAGGGAGATGGACAGAAAACTTACAGACCTGCAGTTGAGGTCTCACACCGAGACCTGTGAGTTTTAGTAAACTTCGCCTAGGGTTGTAATCTTCATCACTAAAGTGCATCGGCATATCCATCGCCTACCCACGGATTCTAATAGCTGTCCTGCGGGAACCGCAGTCAGCCACCGGTCCATCTCATGTATGTCTCTCGGAAATGCATGCAGTGTGATCTCTTCTTTGGTTGCTGAAATACCGGGACAGTCCCTCACACAGCACCTTCTAGGCATTGTAGTTGATCACATCAATTCACTGACTATTCTTTTTCTACCTTTACAGCAACATTAAGCGATGAAAAGCAAATAAAAGAAACCTTGTCTGCTTGGATCACTCGTGGAGATGCGGAGAATAACAAAAATATAAAAAAAAATAATACACGCGCTCGCGATAAGCACGAGGAGGGATACAACTCACGTGACTTCCGGCGGTGCCTCCCTTCTGATCGCCCCGACACCTTGCGGTACACTGTTACGTCACAGTGCACTGGCGAAAACTTTGAATTGAGCCTCGTATTTCTATTTTTTTATAAAAAAACTACGCAACTCTTTAGTGAAACAATTTTT